TATGTGTAACATTACGTTCGAGATTCATTAAGAATAAATCATTGACCATCGGGGCATGACCATAAAACATATCTCTCATATAAATAGAACAACCATTATTTTTGGATTTAAATGAGTAGCCATCTCGTATTAAACGAGATCCAAATACAATGTTCATGCTCAAACTTGGCACTAAATAACAATTATTGAGGTTTAAAACTAATCCCGAAGGTAAATGTAGAGGTAGCGTGCCGACGGTGATCACATCGACCTTGGAACCATTCCCGACGCGCATCGTCACCTCGTCCTTCGCTAGTCTCCGCTTATTCCGCAGCTCCTGCTGTGAGTTACAAATATGAGCAACGGCACCGGTATCAAATACCCAGGAGTTACTACGAGTACTGGTAAGGTACACATCAATTACATGTATATCATATATACCTTTAGTGTTGCCGGCCTTCTTGTCCGCTAAGTATTTGGGGCAGTTCCGCTTCCAGTGACCCTTCCCTTTGCAATAAAAGCACTCAGTCTCAGGCTTGGGTCCATTCTTTGACTTCTTCCCGAAAACTGGCTTACCGGGCGCGGCAACATCCTTGCCGTCCTTCTTGAAGTTCTTCTTCCCTTTCCTTTCTTGAACTTGGTGGTTTTATTGACCATCAACACTTGATGTTCCTTTTTGATTTCTACCTCTGCTGACTTCAGCATTGAAAATACTTCAGGAATAGTTTTCACCATCCCCTGCATATTGTAGTTCAACACAAAGCTCTTGTAGCTCGGTGGGAGCGACTAAAGGATTCTGTCAATGACCGGCTCGTCCGGGATGTTAATGTCCAACTGGGACAGGCGATTGTGCAACCCAGACATTTTGAGTATGTGCTCACTGAAGAACTATTTTCCTCCATCTTACAACTATAGAACTTGTCGGAGACTTCATATCTCTCGACCCGGGCATGAGCTTGGAAAACCATTTTCAGCTCCTCGAATATCTCTTATGCTCCGTGTTGCTCAAAACGCTTTTGGAGCCCCGGTTCTAAACTGTAAAGCATGCCGCACTGAACGAGGGAGTAATCATCAGCACATGACTGCCAAGCGTTCATAACGTCTTGGTTCTCTGGGATGGGCACTTCACCTAGCGGTCCTTCTAGGACATATGCTTTCTTGGCAGCTATGAGGATGATCCTCAGGTTCCAGACCCAGTCCGTATAGTTGCTGCCATCATCTTTCAGCTTGGCTTTCTCTAGGAACGATTTGAAGTTCATGTTGACATGAGCGTTGGCCATTTGATCTACAAGACATTTTTGCAAAGATTTTAGACTAAGTTCATGATAATTAAGTTCATCTAATCAAATTATTTAATGAACTCCCACTCAGATTTGACATCCCTCTAGTCATCTAAGTGTTACATGATCCGAGTCAACTAGGCCATGTCCGATCATCACGTGAGACGGACTAGTCATCATCGGTGAACATCTCCATGTTGATCGTATCTTCCATGCGACTCATGTTCGACCTTTCGGTCTCTGTGTTCCGAGGCCATGTCTGTACATGCTAGGCTCGTCAAGTTAACCTAAGTGTTTTTGCATGTGCAAAACTGTCTTACACCCGTTGTATGTGAACGTAGGAATCTATCACACCCGATCATCACGTGGTGCTTCAAAACGACGAACTTTAGCAACGACGCACAGTTAGGGAGAACACTTTCTTGAAATTATTATAAGGGATCATCTTATTTACTACCGTCGTTCTAAGTAAACAAGATGCAAAAACATAATAAACATCACATGCAATTAAATAGTAGTGACATGATATGGCCAATATCATATAGCTCCTTTGATCTCCATCTTTGGGGCTCCATGATCATCTTCGTCACCGGCATGACACCATGATCTCCATCATCGTGTCTCCATCATCGTGTCTCCATGAAGTTGCTCGCCAACTATTACTTCTACTACTATGGCTAACGATTTAGCAATAAAGTTAAGCAATTACATGGCGTTAAATCATTGACACGCAGGTCATACAATAATTAAGACAACTCCTATGGCTCCTGCCGGTTGTCATACTCATCGACATGCAAGTCGTGATTCCTATTACAAGAACATGATCTCATACATCACAATATATCATTCATCATTCATCACAACTTTTGGCCATATCACATCATAAAGCAATTGCTGCAAAAACAAGTTAGACGTCCTCTAATTGTTGTTGCATCTTTTACGTGGCTGCAATAGTGTTCTAGCAAGAACGTTTTCTTACCTACGAATAACCACAACGTGATTTGTCAACTTCTATTTACCCTTCATAAGGACCCTTTTCATCGAATCCGCTCCAACTAAAGTGGGAGAGACAGACACCCGCTAGCCACCTTATGCAACTAGTGCATGTCAGTCGGTGGAACCTGTCTCACGTAAGCGTACGTGTAAGGTCGGTCCAGGCCGCTTCATCCCACAATACCGCTGAAGCAAAATAAGGCTAGTAGTGGCAAGAAAGTTGACAACATCTACGCCCATAACAAATTTGTGTTCTACTCGCGCAAAAGAGAACTACGCATAGACCTAGCTCATGATGCCACTATTGGGGAACATTGCATAAAATAAAAAATTTCTACGTTCACCAAGATCAATCTATGAGTTCATCTAGCAACGAGAGAGAGGAGTGCATCTACATACCCTTGTAGATCGCGTGCGGAAGCGTTCAAGAGAACGGGGTTGAGGGAGTCGTTCTCGTCGTGATCCAAACCACCGGAGATCCTAGCGCCGAACGGACGGCACCTCCGCGTTCAACACACGTACGGTCAACGTGACGTCTCCTCCTTCTTGATCCAGCAAGGGGGAAGGAGAGGTTGATGAAGATCCAGCAGCACGACGGCGTGGTGGTGGATGCAGCAGGGCTCCGGCAGGGCTTTGCCAAGCGACTACGGGAGGGAGAGGTGTAGCAAGGGGGGAAGGGAGGCTCCAGGTGTCAGGTGCGGCTGCCCTCCCACCCCCCTCTTTATATAGGGACCCCAGGGGGGCGCCGGCCCTAGGAGATGGGATCTCCTAGGGGGGGCGGCGGCCAAGGGGGAGACTTGCCCCCAAGGCAAGTGGAGGCGCCCCCTCCCCTAAGGTTCCCAACCCTAGGCGCAGAGGGGGGGCCCAAATGGTCTTGCGAGCCTCAAGAAATGGTTATCTGCAAAAAGAAGCAGCAGGTATATAGCTGAACTGAACCTGAAGCTGGTTAGCAACCAATAATACAAGCAAATGATATTGTTACACGGCATAAATAAAGTGGATTGATAGCTCGTGATGAATCAAAAGCTTCGAAAAAGACGTCCAGAAAAACATTATGTGTATATGGATGTATTTCTGAAAAGCTGAAATTCTAGCACCTTAAAGATGGACCCAAACTCTAAATCCACCTAATAACAGACTGAAGCATGGTTCTCATCATGTGGTTCACAATTCTGACCCTGGAGAACATCTGCAGATTTTGCTTTCTGCTTCATGTCAGCAAAATTGCATCACACTATCAATTTGCTGAGGAAAAAATTATAAGTTAAGACCACTGTAGCATAGTTTCTGCTACATGTCATCTGAAACTATAATTTAAGTTTGCTGACAGAAAAAATGCATCACCAGCACTACCATGCTGCTATGCCATCACACTATCAGAGATGATGTTTATGCATTATAGAACAATAGTGTGAGTACCAAAAGAAAAGAACATAATGTGACCATTTTTTGCGGCAGGGGAGTGACATGTAAGGACACGAGCCATAGGAATCTCTGAAGAAAAAGCCTAACGCCCTGTCAATAAAAGAAAACCTAACAGATCAGTTCTACACGCAAGTGCTACAGCTTATTATTTAAGGGACAAATGCACAACCAAAGGACAATAAAATTTGAACAGGCTCTTCTCATCAACAATATTTCACAGGATGAAGTGCATTTTACCAAGCACCGTTACAGTTGGTCAACATCTATTGAGATCACTGAGGCAACATCACACGATTAATTCCTCACAGTTGGCATGTAACGACACATCTGTCAAGGAGTAGTAGTTTGTACAGCCACATCGAGGCTCCACATTTTTAAGGTGCCACCAACCAAAAGGCTGAACATCCAGCATGAGTAAGTTGTTTCTGCATCACTCGTGGCAACAAAGAACAAAACCTGCAGCAAGCAACCTCATCAGCAGAGCCGATTTTGGCTACTCATGAGGGAAAACAAATACAGAGAGAACAATATCTGCAAGTTCAAACAACACTAGGAAAACGGTTTCTGCCAGTTAAATTTGTTCTCTCGTCTCTTTGCACATCTCAACAGGAAAAGGACATGTAGAACACTGTACTACCAAGATTACCACTCAAGGGCAACATTTGATTTCTAGTAATACTTCTGGCTCAAAGTGATTAGTGACAAGTTAGGATTTATTGAACCCACACAATGAGAGCATGAGTTCATTTCTGAAGATTGAATTGAAACATTCCAGTGATTGTGTTCTCTCAAATGCAGACTCCAGCTCGTGACTGATGCAACTATACAGCAAAAGGATGTCTAAACAATGATATGAAATTGTTTGATATGACAAACTGCATTGAGGTAGCACCAGTGGCGGAGCTAGGTAGGATCCTTTGGAGGGGCCAAACATAAATATGGGTGTTTAGCTGGCCAAAATATTCTATTTTTCCTTATCTTCCTCTCCCCCCAAAAAAATTCTTTCACAAATTTGACCAAGGCTGGGGGGGCCATGGCCCCTGCAGCCTTCAACGTAGCTCCGCCACTGCGTAGCACATCAGCATAATGCACTATGAACAGCACAGATACAGGAGGGGTGTTTACAGCTCCAAGAGAAAAGGTGAATAAGGTCAAACTAGGCAATAGTCGCATTATTCAAGGTTCTAGCTATATTGTGCATAGCACTGCGTTTTCTATGATCCATGGCTTGCAAAGAAAACAACAATACACATAGGAACAGAGGATGTCATATCACCTCTTCAACCAACAAGGCGTATCAGCACATGTAACAGCACAATCATCTCAACTGTTGTTCAACAGTTCAACTTGATCATTTTCACCACCAATGGTAATTCCTATGAGAAGAATGAGTGAATAAACTAGTAACAGTTGTGGTCAAGAAAACAACAGATAAAAGGTGGAGACACTTAAATGAAGTGATTGTTATGTACCTCACCTTGCACAAAATACTAGCTTTTGTTACAAAAGGAAAAATTAAGAAATGACATGTATTGCAAGATTTAAATAATTCATCAAGACAGTGTACACCATCTACCTCAAAACCAGTTCATTACTATTGGCTATGAATTATGATACAAGCAAATGGCAGGATGTGAGTCTGGATGAAGAGTAAATATGTGAAACACATGCAAGTAAGAATGCCAGAACTTCATATACATCTTCTAGTTGTGAAAGGGTTACTTTTTGCTCTCACGTGAATGGCTTATTTGTAAATTGGTGTAAACAGGAGGAGGATGTGGGAATCAATAATCAGTAGAGTGCCAGGTATTAATGGCTCATCATTTGGTTAGCAGTACTTTCAAAAGAAGTTCCATGAAAACTTGTCATCTGTAAATGAACTATGGCTGGCTCATATTTTAAAACATATCCAAGGCAGACACAGTTTGGAAGATTAAAGTGAACTATGCGACACTGTAAATATTGGCGGTACCTGGAGCATAGAAACTTGTGTAAGGAAAAATGTATTGGCCACATATCTGTTCCTTCGACACCTCCTCGATCTTCATGGACTTGAGATGGATCATGTAGATGCTAGGATACACATCAATGAAGATCACATCAGCATCTTCCGCGTAGCCAACTGCCTCCGCTCGAATATCTTGAACCATACACGCCCCCACTACTTCCGGAGGAAGAAACTTTTTGAGATCAATGACCCTTTGGTGTGTCCATGTCACTACCCCGTCAACGCTCACCACCTTTGACCACAGATGGAGATTGAATTCTTCAACTCCGGCCAAACCAAGCCATCCATCATCTGTCGGCATGATGACAATCTGTCTGTCATAGCTTTCTAGTGCGTCATATGGGAACTCCTCAGTTAGAGCCAGCATATGCTTATCCAAATCAAACTCAAAGATGCTGCAGTCGTCCAACAGCCAATAGATTGTGTTCCCAACCAGAGCCGTGGGCTTTGTCTGAACTAATGCATATGGCATAAGAATCGAAGTGATCTCACCCCAGACACCGGTTTCGGACGAGAAGACGCACGCGGAGGTGATGAAATCAACCTTGTTACTGAACACGAAGACCACGAGGAATGGACACGAATGGCAGTTGCCGTGGTTGGCGTGGCCAGCCGCGCACAGAACCGCGCCATTGTACTCAAAGCTCCCATGACAGGTCTGCGCGGGCAGCGGCAGGTAGCGCTCGTCGCCGGTCACGAGGTCCCAGACGAGCAGCGTCCCAGTGCGGCAGCTCTCAAAGAGGGCGCGGCCGTGGCGGCAGTCGAGGGCCCGCGCCAGTGCTTGCAGACGAAGGAGGCGCGGAAGAGGTGGATCGGCTCCGGCGGGAGGCGAATGAGGATCTCCAGGAGGAGGTCGTCCGGGGGAAGCGGCGAGGCGGCCGCCGCGCGGCGAGCTCGCCCGTGCCTCCATGGGGTTTGGGGATTTCGGGGAAAGTGGGTGTGTGTCGGCTTTGGGCTTTGAGAGAACGAACAAAATAACTGGGCCGTGATTTTTTCGTTTCCTTTTGGGCCGTGCTTTAAGTTAGACCTCGCACCGGATTTTTTTTAGAGAACATAATAAATTATTCGAAGCAGAGTGTTTTTTAGTGACATGTATGCACACAAGCCATAGGACAACCAAAAAGCAATTAAACTCGTACATTTCGTTACAGTTCACTGAACACTACATCACATGACACGATTTATTCCTGACATGTTCAAACAGCTGATTTGCAAGATCTGCAAGTTCAAACAGCACTAGGAAAACAGTTTCTGCCAGTTAAACTTGTTCTCTCATGTCTTTGCGCATCTCAACACAGAGAGAACAAGTAGAACAATGTACTACCAAGATTACCAGTCATGGGCAACATTTGGTTTCTAGTAATGCTTTTGGCTCAAGGTGATTAGTAGCAAGATGAGATTATTCTACCCACACAATGATAGCATGAGTTCATATATAAAGATTGAATTGAAACCTTCATGTCATTGTGTTTTCTCAAATGCAAAGAATCCAGCTCATGGCTGATGCAACTATATACAACAAAAGGAAAACAAAGAACTGATATAAAATAGTCTGACATGATAAATTGCATCGTTGGAGCACATCCTCATGATGAACAATGAGCTGTGCAGATCCAGGAGGAGCGCTTCACAGCTCCAACAGAAAAGGCAAATAAGACATCAAACTAGGCAAAATAGTCATATTATTCAACGCTCCAGCTATATTGTGCTTAGCACTGCATTTTCTGTACCACACTGCAAAGAATATTATTGATCCAGAAGAAATCTCTATCTAAGCACTTCTACCTCCCTTCGTTTTAGAGAAGCAAAACAATGGGCATATAGTAAAAGATAATGTCACGTCACCTCTTCAACCAACAATTCGCGGTAGCAGATATGAAAGCACAATCATCTCAAGTGTCGTTCAACAGTTCAGCTTGATCATCTCCAGCACCAATGGTGATTCCTCTGAGAAGAATGAGTTGATATGACAAATCGGCAGCAGAAGAATGTGGGTATCAATAATCAGCAGAGTGCAGAGTATGAAGGACCCATATCATTCAAAATGTCATGTGCAACGCACTATATATGGCTCGTAGAAAGCATCTTTTTTTTGGAAAAGGGGGACTCCCCGGCCTCTGCACCAGAATGATGCATACGGCCACATATATAAATAAATAAAGTAGTTTAATAAAGTCTTGCAGTCTGCAAACAAATAAAAGGTTGGCTCACAAAAAGCCACAAAACCAAGAGCAACAAGGCCCAAAAGCCAAAACGGGCTGGCAAAAGAAAGATAAGTAAACTAATCGTCTATCCTATTAAATGACCGCCATCCAAACTGGTTGAAGATATCCCGCGCTACCATCTCCCACCGGACAAATCCAGTAACCAAACGCTCCCTGGCCTCCGTCGGAGTGAGTAAGGACCACATACAGATTAGCGCAGAAGCCCCGAATAACACCCGCAAAAAATGGATAGTTGATATTCTGTTAAAAGCCAAATCATTTATGCAGTTCCAAATTGCCCATAACAACGCACATGCTCCTACGCGAATTTGTTTAGCTGTTTCGGACTCTATTCTAACAAGCTACGTTCCAAATAACGACCTGACTGAATTCGGAGTAGTAATGTTAAAGATAATTTGCACCGAGCGCCACATGTGATGCCTGGATAATTAAGCTACAATGATCCCACGCTAATGATGCCACGTCACCATGGTTACTGCTGCTAATCTATCGTTAGATCAAAACCGATCCTAAATTCAAATTCAAAGTTTAGTAAATAATAAAAGTTTTCAAACATTAAAATAAAAATGTCGGTCTGTACTAAATATTACATAGATAAATATGGTGTAGTAAACACATTTTTATAAAATGCCTAAATGATTTAAAATGATTTAAAACAGAAAAGTAAATAAATAAATAAAATACAAAAGAGAAAAACTAAACTAACAAAAAAAAAGGAAAGCACCCCCCAATAGGCCACGGCCCAGCAGACCTCCAGGCCGCCCGGCCGGACCACCAGGCCCAACCGGCCACCCCCCACTCCCTTATCCCCTCTCGCATGAAACCTTAACCCCCCACTACTCCCACTCGCCCCCACTCCCTCTCCCTCGTCTCACTTCACTGCCTCCCTCTCCCCGATCCAGATCGGATCGGGGCAATCGAGGCCCGATCCAGACGCCCCATCCCGACCCCCGACGCCACCGTTCGCCGTCCCCGCCCTCACCTCGTCGGACGCCTCCTCATCTCCTCCCCGACGGCCTCCTCCTCGCCTCGATGCCAACGCCGCGTCGCCGCCGCCGAGGGCCCCGTCGTCGGAGACACCTCGCCGGACGCCATCACCTCCGTTCACCCCGCCACCGGACCTCGTCGCCCCGCCGCACTTCGTCCCCGACATCCTCCACGACCCCCGCTGCCTAGTCCCCTACGACCCCCTGTGAGCTCACCCTCTCCTCCTCTCTTCCTCGCACGCACGCGCTCACAGCCATGGCCTCCTCCCCGCGGCTCCGATGTCGCCACCGTGACCCTGTTGCTGCCCCCTCGCGCCGTCTCGCGCCTGCGACCTCCGTGCCGCTGCGAGTGCCACCAGCCGCGCTCCCCACTCCTGCTCGCCGCGGCCCACAACCGCCGCCGCTGCTGTTTCCTGCCTCGTCGCCCGCGTACCTCGTCGGCCCCTGCCTCGCACCGGGGCTGCACCGCACCGGCCTCTGCTGTCGCACGCCGGCGCCTGAGAGGCCACGTCCTCGCCTAGTGCCCCCGGCTCCGCCTCCTGCCGTCGCCATCGGTTGTCGCCAACGGCGGCCGGCCGCACATCGGCGCCACTGCATTCGGGCGGCGCCCAGCGCTCAGCGCCCATTAGCACCCATGCCCGCTAAGGCCCACTGGCCCTATGACAAGTGGGGCCATCCCCAGAGCGGTTATATAAAAAAAGAGGAATTAAATAAAATAAATAAAAATAATATAATATAATTAATTAAGATAACTAATTAACTTAATTAATCATGTTAGTTAATCTAATTAAGCCTAATTAATTAACCTAATCACTTTAGTTAAATTGACTAATCCTGTTTAGTTAACTGTGTCGATGACAAACGGGACCCACACGTCAGTTTGACCCAGTCAACCCCCTGTTGACTGCTGATGTCATGCTGACGTCAGCAAACACTATTCTGGATAATGTTAGTTTAAATTAATTAAATAAATTCTAAAAATGATTTAAAACTTTAGAAAATCATATAAAATAAACTATAGCTCAGATGAAAATACTTTCTACATGAAAGTTGCTCAGAACGACGAGACGATTCAAGTTTCGCAGCCCGTTCGTCCACCACACATCCCTAACCTATCAAACTTGCAACTTTCCCTCTCCGGTTCATCTATTCGAAAACGCAAAACACCGGGAATACTTTCCCGGATGTTTCCCCCCTTCGCCGGTACCACCTACTACCGCGATTGGGCATGCCTAGCATCACGCTTTGCTTTGTTGTGCATCGTCATGCATTTGTTTGCATTGTATTTATTGTTTCTTCCCCCTCTTCTCTCGCTAGACACCGAGACCGACGCCGCTGCTACCTAGTACGACTACAGTGTTGATGACCCCTCCTTCTTGCCAGAGCTTCCAGACAAGCCCCCCCCCCCTTGATCACCAGATATCGCCTATTCTTCTCTATACTACTTGCATTAGAGTAGTGCAGCATGTTACTGTTCGGTTACTCCTATTCGGTTGCATAGCCTGTCATTGTTGCTACAGTCATTGATACCTTACCCGCAGTCCTAAATGCCTAGTATAGGATGCTAGTTTACCATTACGGGCCCTACATTCTTGTCAGTCTACCATGCTATACTATCGGGCCGTGATCACTTGGGAGGTGATCATGGGTATATACTATACATACATACTATACAGATGGTGACTAAAGTCGGCTTGGCTCGTTGAGTACCCGCAAGTGATTCAGATATGGGGGCTGGAAGGACAGGTGGCTCCATCCCGGTAGAGGTGGGCCTGGGTTCCTGACGGCCCCCGACAGTTCCTTTGTGGCGGAGCGACAGGGCAGGTTGGGACCACCTAGGCGAGAGGTGGGCCTGGCCCTGGTCGGCGTTCGCGGTTGCTTCATAATAACACGCTTAACGAGATCTTGGTATTTGATCTGAGTCTGGCCACTGGTCTATACGCATTAACCAACTACGCGGGACAGATATGGGCACTCGACTTCGTGGTATCAGCCGAAGCCTTCGTGACGTCCGCGACTGAGCGGCGCGCGTCGGATTGGACCGTAAGCCTGCTCTTGTATTAAGGGGGCTAGGTCTGCTTCCGGCCGCGTACGCAACATGCAGGTGTGCAATGGGCGATGGGCCCAGACCCCTGCGCGCATAGGATTTAGACCGGCGTGTTGACCTCTCTGTTGTGCCTAGGTGGGGCTGCGACGTGTTGATCTTCCGAGGCCGGGTATAACCCCGAAAAGTGTGTCCGGCCAAATGGGATCGAGCGTGTTGATTTATGTGGTGCACCCCTGCAGGGAAGTTTATCTATTCGAATAGCCGTGTCCCTCGGTAAAAGGACGACCCGGAGTTGTACCTTGACCTTATGACAACTAGAACCGGATACTTAATAAAACACACCCAGACAAGTTCCACAGACAACCCGGTGATCGCTTTTCCATAGGGCGACGAGGGGAGGATCGCCGGGTAGGATTATGCTATGTGATGCTACTTGGAGGACTTCAATCTACTCTCATCTACATGCTGTAAGACGGAGGCTGCCAGAAGCGTAGTCTTCTATAGGACTAGCTATCCCCCTCTTATTCTGGCATTCTGCAGTTCAGTCCACCAATATTGCCTCTTTACACATATACCCATGCATATGTAGTGTAGATCCTTGCTTGCGAGTACTTTGGATGAGTACTTACGGTTGCTTTTCTCCCCCTTTTTC